ATAACGGGGACATCATATATATCTCGCATTGATCTACTGTTAACATTTGGATTAGTCTAATTTGTAATTACATTAGTTAAAGAAGTCAAAGGACCAACAATATCAAGTTTAACATATAACTCAATCATAGTGTTATTAAATTGACTTTGAAAAGCGTCGAGCACATGACCTTGATGTCTTCATCATCTGAAATATCATGGCCTTCCTACTTTGGTGGTTTAATGGATTGAAGATGTTGAGATGATGGAGATTGTTAAGATGATGGAACATATTGAAGACTCCTCAAGAGTGATTTAGTTTTGATGATACATTATATAGATTTTGCTTAAAGCTATGCAAAAAGATATTGCATTGATTGTGATAGATATAGGCTTTTGTTTGATGATGATGATGATGAATGCTTAATTAAGGAACTAATCAAGTTATTTTAAGAAACCAAGAATTTGATTTTTTAGTATTTCCATGAGTAAACATAAAGTAATAGATTATCTTGAAAAGGGTAATTTACTACCAAGTGTTTAAACATAGAATATGACTTGATTCAAACAAGAGTTTTCAAGGTAACTTTGTTAATCAATTACCATTCATGGTAATAGATTACCAACTCTGTTACTAGAAAAGGATATTCAAATGTCCTCTGGGTTAATAGATTATCACGTTTGTTACTGAAAAATGATTTTGTTAGTCAAATAGCCTCGTATAACTTAAGAGGTGGGGGTGAATTAAGTTTTCCAAATTCTCCTCTTATAAAACTTTTCCGAATTACTTTCTTACAAATTCAATTCCTAAGATAAATTTATATGTAAAGAATGAATGATGATGCAAACTACTTAATCACAATTTGTTAGAAAAGAATGGCACAATCCAAGAGGGGGGGTGACTAGAGAAGGCTTCTACAGAGGAGATGCTTATTATACCTATGCTCTTCATGAGAATTGAGTATGATTCCTCTTTTTAGTCCCTTAGTTTCCATTGTATATACCTTGTAAGATACTTATACATAGTAGTTGCTTGTATAGGTGTATTTTGCCTTTGTATTTGTGAGGCACTTTCTTTCTTTTATTATAGGTTATCATTTAGGATTTTAGGGCATGTTACTTGGAGACTTTTTCTCCATTTGACCTTGTATTAAGGTTCATTCATTTTCATATTTTTAGTAGTAGAAATGGGGTGACAAATAGCAAGGTGTGTAAGCACAACTAGTAATTGGGCCAGAATTGGGCATAGGCCAAATTTTACATATTGGGCTTGTTTTGCTCTATATTTTCTAAGGAATTGATTTAGCTAGGTCTCACCATCATTTGGTGAACCTAACTAAACCAACTCCAAGTTTCTGGATTGGATTAAATATGGAAATTCAAGTCTTGGCCGCCTAGCCTAGTTCCTGTGGCCGAATTGCTTGGCTTGCTTTGCACACTTGAGAAGCTTGTGCTACAAGCTTCTAAGTTATAAACAAAAAAAAATGTACTAGAATTAGCACAAACTAAGGAGTTTCATACATGAGAAAAATGTCTTGGATAAGATTATCATGTTTTAAGGCTTCAATGCCACTCAAATTGAAGGTTCCCTCTTTCGTATTTTTGATTTATTATGTTTTCTTCCACTGCAAAACCATCATCTACTCTAAGATTTTGGCACAAAAGGGACTTCGATGAAATTATGCTTAGCGGCCAAGTACAAAAAGAACCAAGATGAGTGAGAGGCTCAAGCTCATGTTGAGTTTTGGGATACTTTTGGTACTATATTTTCTTTTATACACACACACACACACACACACACACACATATATATATATATATTCTTTTATTTTTAGCTTTTTATTTTAGGTCAAATAGTTTAGAAATTTATTTTCTTGTTTTCCTTTTTTTATTTTTAGGGGTGTATTTAGTATTTTAAGGGTGGTGCAACTAATATTTAGAATACGTGCTTATTGGACTTGTTTGGGCCAAGAGAGAGCAATAATCCTTTCTCCCATGAAGTGGATGTCCAATTTACTCCATACATCCCCTCATTGGTTTCACACATCACCCACCAAGTCATGTTCGAGACACTAGTCACATTTTTAACATGTTTGCTTCTGTATCTCGTTTCTTACTACCACATCCCCCATCACACCTTTTGCACCATGCCATGTGGCAAGTTCTTATTCTTTCTTCTAGATTTAGGATGTTGACATCATTTTTGGAGGTAAATTCAAATTTGAATTTCAAATTTTAACTAACCTAACCTTGGTTACACTTAATCTTTGTTAGCTTAACTTGCACCACAAACTACCAAACTCTATATATTGACTCTCTTTGTATGTAATTCATGAGTTTTGAGATTTTTGAGAATTGAAATTTTTTTTTGATAATTTTTCAGAAAAGATACTCTGGTAATCAGTTACAAGACTTGGTAATCGATTACAACGGTTTTAAGTTCAAAAAATTTGAAACAATGTATCTTTAAAATTCAAATTTTTGAAGTTTTCTTTTCTGGTAATCGATTACAAGGTCTGGTAATCGATTACCATAACACATTTTGTATTCAGAATTTGAACTTTGAAGTTTTCTTGTTCTAGTAATGGATTACAAAGTCTGGTAATGGATTACCATAACATATTTTTGCATTGTTTCAAAAACTTTTATATAGAAAACTTCATATCAATAATATCTTTTACAGATCTCTTTTAAGAAATGATTTGAACTATTCTTTAAAGCTTTTGTTAAATCCTTCAAAAACATTTTTACTTACTTTCAAAAGATTTAAAACTTGCTTAAATTTAAAGAGATTAATTTGAGGTTTTTGAAAACTTATTCTGAAGGCCAAGCATACTTGCAATTCTAAAAGAGTATTTTACATTCTTAGCTAAGTTGACAAAACTTATCTATGTAACACTTGAGATCTTGTTCTTGCATCAACTTACTTTAGCTCAACCTTGATTCTTCTTCAATGCTTTATAATCACTTTGGCATCATCAAAACATTTGTGCATATTTTCTTCCACATTCTCCCCCTTTTTGATGATGACAATTAACTGTAAAGGGAAGGAAACTAGAACAGTGTATTCCGATGACTCCCCCTTAAACTCCCCCTGAGTAAAGTATTGATTGATGTTATATTTATTTTTACAAAAGGAGTTGTACTTATGTTTTGAAAAAGATTATAAAGATCAATGTTTATATTATAAAACATAAGTGCCAAGTTGAGCATGAAGAATATTTTTGTCAAAAACTCAAGTGTAGATAAAATATATTTTAGTCAAACTTAGCCCAAAGTAATGTTAGACAAAAATTTTCCTTTCCTTTGCGGTCTTATCTATCTCTCCCCCTTTGACAACATCAAAAAGAATATAATAACAAAATTATCCAAAGGTAAAGAGCAAGCCAAAATATTAACCAATGTTAACCAAGCTAAACATGATGTCAGGCCTACTTGCTTACAATATTTACTTTGGCTTGAAGTCCATTATTGATGCATAGGCAAGTAACATTATAATGGATTCTAGTCTTGCTATAGGTGCATATGTTTCTTCATAATCTATGCCTTCTTCTTGATTGTATCCTTTAGCAACTAGTCTAGATTTGTTTCTTATGACTATACCATGTTCATCAAGTTTGTTTGTAAAAATCCATTTAGTTCCTATAATTGGATGATTATTTGGTCCAGGGACTAGTTTCCATACTTGATTTCTCTCAAATTGATTTAACTCTTCTTGCATAGCATTTATCCAATGTTCATGATTTAAGACTTCATCAATGTTCTTAACTTCTATTTTAGAAACACAAACCATATTATTGCATGCTTCTTTTAGAGAGTGTCTAGTAGTTACCCTTTTTGATATATCTCCAATGATATTTTCAAGAGGATGATTTCTTAAGATTTTCCACTCTCTTTGAGGGTTCATGTTTGTTTGATCTTCTTGGATTGTTGAATCCTCTCTTCCTTCATCTTCATTATCATTTTGAGTTTGCTCATGAATGTAAGTGTCTTTAAGGCTTTCTACAATATCATCAATAATATCTTTTCTTGGACAAACAATGTTAGTCTCATCAAATACAACATGAAATGATTCTTCTATAGTCATGGTTCTTTTGTTGTATATTCTGTATGATTTGCTATTTAAAGAGTATCCAAGAAATATATAGAGAAATCATCTACTAAGACAAGACCATAGTAACTTCCACCAAAGCTCATAGTTCTAGAGGGTCCAAACAAGTCCATATGCAAGAGTTCTAAGGGTCTAGAGGTTGTAACTATATTCTTTGGTTTGAAAGATAACTTTACTTGTTTCCCCTTTTGTCATGCATCACCAAGTTTATTTTTCTCAAATTTAATTTTTGGTAATCCTATTTCTAAATCTTTTGAGATTAATTTATTTATGTATTCCATGTTTATGTGAGAAATTATTTTATGCCATAACCATGATTCATCATCTTTACTCACAAGACATTGAGAATGACTCATATTTTTCTCTAATTTTATCTTGTATATATAGTTTACTCTAAATCCTATTATTTTAACATGTTCATCATTTTTATGTTCAACAAGACATTATTGTGAATCAAAAGATACAGAGAAACCTTTATCACGTAATTGACTCACACTTGATGAACTATGTTTAAGACGATTCATAAGTAAGACAATTTCTATGTAGGTTGAGAAATTTGTACCAATTCTTCCAATGTCAAGTATTTTTCCTTTGTTGTTGTCTCCATAGGTTACATGTCCACTTTTCTTAGGAGTAATGTCAATGAATTTTGAAGTATCTCCTATCATGTGCTTGGAACATCTGTAATATCCATTTTATTATTATTATTTATTAATGGCATTTTCGTAAATTTTTATAAAGGTATAGGGTGGGTCGTTACATTTTTGGTATCAGAGCTGGTCGAGTCTCTTTAGGGTTTGTGGGAAATGGTCTTGTTATGTTTCTGTTGTGTGGAAATGGATTTTGGAAAGGAATTCCTTATGTGTTTTGGTGTAAACTCATGGGTTCCTTGATCTTTTATCTTGATTAGGATGGTCGGTAGGGGAAACCATTTTAATCCTTCTTCAGGTGTGGATGAGTGGCAGATTGCTCAAGCTATGGAGTTAATTGCTGCTGCTATTGGACAACAAAATACTTTGTTAGCTCAGATGGAGACCAATCGGGCTGCAGCTGAAGCAGCTAGGTCTGAGGTACCTGATGAGTATAGGGGCTTGTCAGAGTTCAGAAAAGGGAATCCTCCCCAATTCACAGGTGTTGATGGACTTGAAGTTGCTGATCAATGGATTGAGGAGATGGAGAAAATCTTCATGGTGATGCATTGTCCTGAGGAGAGGAAGCTAGTTTATGTTGTTTATATGTTGGTGGGTGAGGCTAGTTTCTGGTGGAAAGGTGCTCAAGCTATGATGGAGGCTAGAGGGGAGGCGATAAATTAGGAAAACTTCAAAAAGGTATTCTTAGAGAAATATTTTCCAGATAGTGCCAGATATGCTAAGGAAGCTGAGTTTTTGAGACTACAGCAAGGAAATATGTCAGTACAAGAGTATGTGGTCAAGTTTGAACGTTTGGCTAGATACTATTCTCAAGCTATCTCTGAAGCATGGAGATGTAGGAAGTTCAGTGAGGGTTTAAGGTACGAGTTGAAGAAAACTATTGTTCCTATGGGGATTGTGGAGTTCCCAGTTCTAGTTGAAAAGGAAAAAATAGTTGAGAGATTTGAAGGAGGAAATAGAGTGGCAAAGGGTACAGAGGGATCATCTGGATTTGGGAGGGGGAAACATCCTCAAAAGAGACCATCTCAGTTTCAAATTGGAAATGCTAATAAGAAACCAATGGGGACTACTACCACAAGAGCTGTTCAGAGTATTAGATGTTACATCTGTGGAGGCCCACATATGATGAAGGACTGTCCTACAAAGAACTATACGTGTTTTAAATGTGGCAAGGTGGGTCACATGGCCAAAGATTGCAATGTCAGAAATACTCCAGCTAGAGAGAACCAGAAAGTGGATCGACCTACTGCAGCAGGTCGTGTTTTTGCTTTGATAGGTACTGAAGCTAAAACGTCATCTGAGCTGGTAAAGGGAAAGGGAAAAGCTGATGGTAATGATATTTCTATTCTATTTGATTCTGGTGCATCACATTCTTTTATTTCTTATGAATGTGTGGCAAGGTTAAATTTGGTTGTGAGTTCCTTGTGTGTGGATCTAGTTGTTTCTACTTCAGCTTCAGGTTCTATTTTGACTTCTGAGGTTTGTTTAAGATGTCCAGTGGAGGTGGAAGGGCATTGTTATAAAGTGAATTTGTTTTGTTTACCTTTATCCGATTTGGATGTGATTTTAGGGATGGATTGGCTTTCTGCCAACAGGATTTTGATAGATTGTTCAGAAAAGAGATTAATCTTTCCTACTGTTGAACAGGAGAGATTTATTTCTAGTGGACAGGTGGATGGGTTGTTGAAGGGTGGAGCTCTTGGGTTTATGATCCTATCTTTTATCAGTGTAGAGAATGAAATGTTGTTAAATAGTATCGATGTTGTCAGAGATTTCCCAGATGTTTTTCCGGATGATGTTCTGGGGTTACCACCAAAGCGAGAGTTAGAGTTTAGTATTGATCTTATACCAGGGGCGGGATCAATGTCTATTTCTCCTTATAGAATGGCACCAGCGGAGTTATCTGAATTGAAGAAGCAGGTTGAAGAACTTTTGGAGAAGCAGATGATCAGACCTAGTGTATCTCTATGGGGAGCACTCGTGTTATTGGTAAAGAAGAAAGATGGTGGTGTGAGGTTATGTGTGGATTATAGGCAGTTAAATAAATTAACAATCAATAATAAGTATCCATTGCCAATAATAGATGATTTGATGGATCAGTTGAGGGGAGCTTCTGTTTTCTCCAAGATTGATTTGAGGTCTGGGTATAACCAGATTCGGGTAAAGGAGGAGGACATACCAAAAACTGCTTTTAGGACTCGGTATGGCCATTATGAGTATGTT